ACACACACACACACACACACACACACACACACACACACACACACACATACACACATACACACATACACACACACACACACACACGCACGCACGCACGCACGCACGCACGCACGCGAACTTGCGCGATCTTTAATTACTTTTTAAACATGACGAGGTAATTCATGCATCTATCTTATCTTTTTCTTTAACCCTTTCATATATAATTGGATCGCTTTTATTTTTGCTTTTCTAGCACGTTCCTTCATCTTCTAGATTTCCAATTTTTCTTTTCTGTTTTCATTTTCCTTATTCATTTTCAGTGGGGAGCAAGTAGTAATATAAAATTGTGAAATTAATAATATTAACTAAACATGTATATGAAAAAACCTTCGATGGCAGTTTTTTCCGACTTTGGTGGAAGCTTTTCTGAATTCGGTGGCATAAAATCCACAGGCTACGGGATTCTGAAAATATAGATGTTTTTGTATATTACTCGTAAACGACAATATTCGTAAAACCAACAAACCATGAAATTTAGTTCATGAAATGTCTTATGCACCTAATTAAAAAATTGTTACATATTTACACGGAAAATGTCCCAAAATCATACACCTGTTCTCTTCAACCGCAGGGGCGTGATGGACAAATTATACAAACGAATTGCGAAGCTTCTAAAATGTTTCACTTGTGATGTCTAGCGTAATTAGTAAATATATACCACTGAAATTCCGCGTAAGCATGGGACACGCGGCAATCATGATATTGTGATAAAATTATTGTCTAATTTATTATGAAATTCAGATTATAAGTACTGTCATCCAATTTATTATACGTGAACTAAAGTCTAATATTGATATACGGTTTCAATTTTGATACGGAGTCACTGTTGTCAGGTACTAGGCATTTCGGATTTTTTCTCCATTAGGTCCAAAACGTTTATTGGGAAAACTTTGCACCCTCCAGCTTTTGTAGCTCCCCAGTTAGCTTTCGATCTATATTATACTCTTTTTTTTTGTAGATTTTTGTTTTGATAAATAATGCATGGACATAGAAAATCGAGGCTTTGGAGAAATGCCCAAACCATCTTCTAATCTCAGCAATCCTCCTAAAAGACAGTTCCCGTGCCGAGGAAGGTTCATTCATCCTTACATCCGGTATAAAGAGCAACGTCGACCACCTCCGTGTCCAAGTCCATGTATACCACCAACACCAGAGTATCCTGGCCAGCCACTAAAACAAAATCGCTTAAACCAAAAAGAATATCGCTGACAGGTTTGTACTTGGTAACTGCGTTAATGATATGTTTTCTAGCAGTTTGTTGATTGTAGGTATCTTTAGAAAGCTATTCAAAATGACATCACTTCTCAAATTTACGTCAGTTCTTTGTGTCGATTCTGAATTTAGTGGACTTCCACGATTTATTCTGTCAGAGAAAACGTTACTGTAATTTTGATCAAATGTACTTTTGTAATGATCAAAAACGATAGTCCCGGAGCTATTAAATACGAGTGCAGATAAATTGTTAGAATCTCGGGATGAGGGAAGTAAATCACAATCGGCCTGGACCATGGTTGCACTGAGCGCATGGAGATAGGTCACTTGCCAACCGTTAATATTCGTGGCAGCCAACGTGTTAAAATTCAAATATGAACCACATGATTTTAATTTGTGCCACTGTTTAGTACTTCAATTTAGTCTTCACTTGTGTTAATTTAACGCCGCTTTTGATTTAAGCAATTGAATTTCCAACATGACCAATTGCACGCGGTCAATCGTCAATTTTTGACCGGCGTCAGGTAAGAGGAAGTTCGAGGTTTCGTGTTTTTCGTGGTCAAAATTGAAATTTGAAGAAAATATTTCGTCTCAAGGGTGGCAAAATAGGGGATGAAACAGTTTTATTAAATCCTAACCACTTTCTGTGATTCACATAGATGTTATTCCTACGAAAATAAAAGTTATAGTGGCCTAGAGCTGATCTGATGGGGGAAATGGCATCCTTAACCCTTAACCGGTGGGTCAATTTGGACCCGACAACAACAAAAAAACTGTTTAATTTCAAAACGCGCGTAGTTTCACTTGTGAACGCCAAACTAACCTTTGAAGTCGCAAGGTGCGGCTGCTACAGGACGTTCAGAGCCTTAAACCTACTGGAAGAGGAGGTATGTGCTTATATAAAATAATAAATAAAACAAAATAAGAAGACTTTATTCTTCAACACTACAACCATACCTAAAATACTTAAAATAGTGGCTTAAAATCTAAATCTGTGTTGAACAAAAGGTAGCCTCGGCAATTTACTCGTTTTCTGGCTTCACCTTGTATATAATGTAATGTACAAGTCAATAGTTATTTGTTATACAAGGTTACAAAATTCTTGTTTGGCGCGAGAGCTTGTATTGAAACCTGACCAAGCGAGGGATTCTGAGATTCAATTTATTGATTCAAAAATTTAAATCCTGAACGTGACGAGGTTTCAAGGCACGAGACGCACAACTTTTCACCTCACTATAGCGAGGAAAATGGTAGATGAAAGAAAAACAGTTGAACTGCTTATAACAAAAACCTTTTCCACGCTAACGTACAAAGAACGCATTTGCGCGCAGATTTCTAATAACAAAGAAAGCCTTTCCGAGCTAGTAAGGTGAAAATACATTTGTTGCTGTAGACTTGCAGTATGCAATTTCTAATTAAGTATTTAATTAAGAAACCACCTTACTCACTGCAATTGTACACTATTATATACATAGAAATTCCAGTTAAATTTTTTAAACAAAACTGCACATGATTCACACACCGACCATGCAGCAAAAAGTGTAAAAAGCGTGTTAAGTGTTATTACATATATAGAATAGAACAGGCAGATAATTATATTTCTAATTATTATATTAACTCACTAGTACCTACTTTATATTCAACCAACAGCACGAAGTCTTCTGTTGTATATGATGATTTCTTTGTTTGTCGTGTTTAAATATATGTCACTTCATTTATTAAATTATAATGATTTATTTTGAATTATTTCAGGGATTTTATTGCAACAATGGCTTTTCAGTTAATTATTATTAGAAAGTGATTCAGACGCAGAATCTTGAAGCGATTTTCAACGTTCTGATGAAGAAAACATTAGTGACGACGCAAATACGCAACGCGAAATTTCTTCCAACTCAAGTGACTCATCGTCTGATAATGATTTAGAGAAGACTTGCACAGTCAAGTAGTACATAATAATGTATTAATTGTAATATTATTATCGATGTAAAAATCGATTCAGGTGGTCCTAGCAGTTCCAAAGTCAGAAATCACAATATCATATTTAGATTAGCTTATTTTTATTATTTTTAATTGATCTCATAAAGAGTTTCTATTTTTTATTAACGGGAACGTAAAACCCCGTAGTATGAGTAGATTTTGTAGGGCATTAAAAAAATCTTGCTTAAAATGGGACCATCGAGTATATAACCAGAAATAGAAACGAAATGTCAAATGCCCTCCGATTGACCAGCCCGAATTCGAAACAATTGACGGGTGTAGTCAATTGGTTCACTTTAAAATGACCAGATTTATATCTAAAAAATAATGTTAAAAAGTTGATTTATACTAAACCACGCGTAACCATTTATATAGGTTTGTGATAGGAAGGTGGACCTGCGATACCAGATACGTTTATCAAAATAACGATTCCGGTTAAGGGTTAACAGCGTACAGCAGCTACTTTGTGTTTAGGCCCACATGATTTAGTTTCTATGACCACTTCCATACGCGTTTCGGTTATCCTAGGGGACATCCGCAGTGACGAAAACGGTGACGCTTTCTCACCGTTTTCGAATAATAAAAACACCTTTTGAGGTTTGATAAATATATTGTTCTTTCTGCGAGAATCCTAAAGTCCATATTCACACTATCAGCACGAACCTGCTTTTAGCATAGCATCTCTTTATTTTGATTATTACGGTAAGTGAAGAAAGACGAAATCCCACCTCACTGGAGCTAAATCTCGAAAAAAAAAAGGCAAAGTCTGAGTGCGCATTATATTTAGATACATCCGGTTTTGAAGGGTAAGGGTGCTGGTGAAATTACAGTCACATGGGACTTGTCAACTTCTCTCAGGGTGACGAGCGCAGTGGTAGTGGCACTGTTACAGACAGGCGTGCGGCTTAACCATCAGGCGCCTTGTTCGTCCCGTCACTTGATGTTATTTAAAAAAAATCTATATTAAACTCTTCCCAGCTCGATGAAGTGCACTTTTATGTTAACTTTGATGGTCGTCAAGTTGTAAAAGGAAGCCCTGTCGTGGTTGCACACGTATTTATTTGTGTTTTATTTAATCATACCATAATTATTTTTAGAAAAATTTTTCAAAAGGCAACGATCCCGACTATATTATAAGCAATTTGGAAAATTGCCACATCATTTTTTTTACAAAAAATTAGCGTGCATTGGACCTCCATCTCACCTGATGGAAAGTGACGATGAGGCCGACGATGTAGCACGCACACCTAAATAATGCCTATTCACTCTCACCTTGAAAAGGTTCAAATTATAACGTTCAGGGAACAAGTCTACAGACAGGGAATTCCACTCCATAGCCGTTCGCCATATAAATGTTGCGAAAGTCTTCGTTTGCTTGGAATATGCACAACATAGGGGTGGAACCCTAGCCTACGCCTAGTCCCCCGATGATGGAAAGTAGAAGGCGGAATCAAATCATGCAATCATAACCGCACTTGTGGCCCAAATGGCATACAAAATCATCACCTTTCATGGCAGCCAACGTGTTTAAACTATACCACGAAATGTTAAAAATTTCTCTTCTTCTGTCTAGATCTAGGCACTAAACTGTTTAACACTTTTCACAATAGAGTTAAAAAATATAAAATGGAAACTATCATTTTATATAACAATTTGTCTTTGTGTTGTAAGTTTGTGTAATGTATGTCTGTGGGTATTTGTGTGTTTTGTTTACCTATAGAATAGAGTGAAACCGAATCACAATGCCACATTACAATCAACGCGTGTCTTTACACTTTCGTTCACGCTTTCATTTGAATTTTAATCCGGATAAGAAATTGTTCCATGGGACCTAGTAATTGCTTTATCTAGAAGAACTAGGCGCTACATGAGCCTATCGCAAGTTTGTTAATAAAGGATCTTAAACCTCTAATCAAAATGGAGTATTTTTATATAAAACATAAATATCATGGTATTAGAAACAGCCTCTTGTTAGCCGCTGGTAACCGTACCTGGCTGAGTGAAGAAAATACTTTCTATTTTAATGTCAACTATAATTTCATAAACCATTTCTTATGGGCGCTCGTTTTAGTGTTCTGAATCAAAATTCTATTGTCTAAGGTCATTGACTTATTATATGGACGTCGGGTCCGCACTAAAAAGTGTCCAAACTTATAGGGCGTTAAAATCGTATACAGAGCGTCATTCACGCTTTAGTCTTCGTTTGTTCGACTGACAGCGAAGCAAGCAAAATTAGACAGTACTGCGATGACATTACAATTTAAATTCAACGTTTTAGCTTTTTCATATTCCTCTACATGTCACTACGTTTAAATAGGTTGACTTGGGATATTTTTTTCGTGGTTTTTGTATTAGACCCGTCGTCCATTTATTTGTAAGTCAATGTCTACGGTACACAGACCTATGAGTTTAAAAAAATGAACGTATTTTTTCCAATTGAATATCAGTTAGGACGCCACTCAAACGCTGTACTGCCTCCTGACCGGTTAAATTGGCCTAAAAGCAACCGGGCCATAAAACCTAATATAAAAAAAATATTGGTTAAAACTTAGAATAATAACGCATAGAAATCTAGTCCGCACACGCTAGGTGAGGCAAATTGAAGCGCGCCAAAAGGGCCTACACGAGCGGGCGAGCCTTCAGTGCTCAAGGTCAACTTGCACCGCGAACAGATCAAGAATTTTAGCTTAAAATGACAAACTGTGCGGTAAATGAGTGTAAAAATACGTCAGACAAACATAAAATAGATACTAACATCACATTCCACAAGGAAGTAACGCGTTTCAACTTATTAACCTACTACTAAAACTAGCCTACATGAATTTGATTTTTGCCTCACTTGTGACAGTTCGTTTGATATGAAACTATCATTCTATGCGTTATTATTCTAAGGGTTAAAATATAAAAAGGGGCATTGATTACCCTGCATTACAGTCCGCAGCGTGCAAGCCATTCTACAATCCTGTCATCGCGTAATTTCAGTGGCAGTTTGTGATAGAGTTCGTCCAGGGAAGTACTGCCACCTTACCTATTTCTGCCGCCAAGCAATAATGTTAAGCATTACTGCGTTCCGGTTTTGAAAGGGTACTGGTGAAATTGCAGGCGCATGGAACTTGTCAACTTATGTCTCAGGGTGACGGGCACTACCACTGCGCAGATTTTTGCGTTTTAAACCTTCACTGAAACTGTTATGGACTGGCATATAGCTTACCATTAGGCGCACGGCTTGTTCGTCCCGCCACTTGATGTTATAAAAACAAAAAATGCGTCCCTAGAGACATTACGTGGGCTATACGCAGGATAGTGTGTGAGCAGCCTCTTTCTTGCGCAGCGGACTGCCATGCAGGCAAGAGACTGCTCGTCGTCGGCGAATGGGCCGTTTAAGCGGTACTTGGTCATTTCTATTCTCTTTGGTTTTTTGCTTTGTAGTGTTTGTTTTTTTCTAAATATACGAAGAGGCTGTGTGGTGGGCCTTTGCCTACCCTAATAAATGGGTTAAAATTTATTACGTGTGTTGTCGTGGATTGTTAACAGAATAGACATTAAATAGTCCCGTTTCATTATTTTATTTATTCGTAGGAAAAGAATTTCATAATTAGGTTTTAAAAATCTCGACCTGTTACTTACATACCTAAATACGGTACTCGACTTTAAGAGCCCTCATAATGCCACGATTGCTACGACAAAAAAGCCGATAAAACAAAATTAAGAAAGGTCTGCAAAAGGCACAAAAAAATTAGTAAGGTTTGGCGAAAGTCCCTGGTTAGTGTCCTGATCAAATGGATCGAATGAATTTTTCTCTGTGTTTGCTTTTAGAGCCTTCATTTGCCTAGACAGATTGCAGATCATAAGAAGTCCCTCACAGAGTCCTCTGTTAATAAAACCCTCCGGTAGTCCTTGTTCTGCGCTGACTCACCCTAAATTCACCATTTCAGCACAATGAAACCTGATATTGACATAAAGTGTCCTCGGTGCTACAATAATCCGAACAAAAGAGATATAAAGATCTGGATTCCGCCTTCAACGGGAAGTCGACTCACACAACCATTCATACAACATAAAAAGGCACAAGTTAAAACCATTGTTCCCAGGGCAAGCACTGGGACAAAAATAAAGAAAAGGTCCAAAAAAGGATTTAAAAAAGTAAAAAAATGCCCCGATTGTGGTCCTAGTTCGAGTGCGAAAAATAAAAAGGTAGGCAGTACCTACTTAATTACACTGGATGCCCTATGATACCTGACCCTCCTTATCGACCATTTGGTTCTAAGTAGATAAGTGTGAAGTGTTAAACTTAAGCCTTTGCACACGGCGTATTTTATACGCACCGTATACGCGCGTCATCTGCGTGTATACGCGCCGCAGTCGTGCTGTAGTAACTCGACTCAGCGCAAAGATCGTGTTACAAGCAAGAAGCTTGTTTCATATAGTTATATTAGTGAGGTATAACAAAGCTAACATTTAAACTATCTTTAATCAAAACGCGAGATACATACGAGCGTTTACTTTGCGTCTACGGCGCGTACACGCGCAGGTGCCGCGTTTACTGCACATATTATACGGCGCATTCAAATTAGCCGCTGTTAGAAGCGCTGCAGCCGCGCGGCGGCCGCGCTGCATCCGCGCAGCGGCCGCGCGACTGTCGCGCTGCTGAAATGATTTTCATCTATCGTGGCTAATTTGAAAAATTAACATGTACACCTCACTAACCGTGACTGCAACCGAGAGTGACTGCAGCGCGACAGTCGCGAATATAAGAATAGAAGCGAATTTCTAGAAATTGTACTGGCTGGCTAACAGGGGCTAATTTGAACGCGATCTTACCTGTGTGCCATAAAGTCAATTTTGATATGACTTGTTTATTGCATCAGTGTGAATCATGTATTGCTTAAAAAATTAAGCCAATGTATGTTTAACGTATACTTAGTTAAGAGCTCTCATGCCAAAAAAGTTTTGACGTTGGCTCCGCCCAAATTTGTGAAACAAGTAGATGCCTGAAGTTCGCGTGACATGCGACAGGAGATGTTGAATTTTGCGCATTAAAAGTACCAAATTAGTTTTAGCGGAATAACTCTAAAACTAAAGGGATTAAAAAAATCCGTAGTGACAGTTGTCGATCATGCATAAATATAATTATCTAATTTTTGTCCTAATAAACTGTAGCAATTCGAGGATAAATCGAAAAAATGTGAAAATTAGAGGTCATTTCGTGATTTTTATCTATCGAGGAAACTTTATTTTATGTTTCTGATTAATGTCTATGCTTGAATATATCGTGTAGTTACTCGTACAATATTTTATTTTTAATTTTAAAGTGGATATACCCCTCTAAAATCAAATCGAAGATTAGGAATTTTTCCTCTGCTCCCTCTTAAACACAGAATACAAATTTTAACAATAAATGCGTAAGAAGGCTCTCGAGGGTCTGGTATGTTAGGGCGTCGAATCACAGCCGCCAAACTGCCATCAAATCGAGTGGAATAAACGCACATCGATGCGGCTAATGTACACATCTCTATCGACACAAATTGATTGATTCGCGTGATTTACTACTATAATTCATTTCACATAGGATAGGTACTGTGACATTTCCAATTTTTACATTTCACGCTTTACTCTTTTTAACTAATCTGTCGACCAGGTAAATAGTAAATTTGTTACAATAACAATCAACAATATTTTGTTGCAGTTGTAACTTTAAGTAAAAATTACAGTATATTAAGCAGATACGAAATGAAATAATAAAGATAAAAATAAATTAATCCCAGTCACTCGATGTGTAAACCGGAAGATTCATTCATCCGATTTACATCATAGAATCGATAAATCCAATCGACTATTATTAAAAATTACAGTATATTAAGCAGATACAAAATGAAATAATAAAGATAAAAATAAATTAATCCCAGTCACTCGATGTGTAAACCGGAAGATTCATTCATCCGATTTACATCATAGAATCGATAAATCCAATCGACTATTATATGCACACACCTTATATGTGGGTAGTTTTCTTTTGTTTTTTTTTTGACGCTTTATCGCGCGTGATTCAGCAATCGTGCGCGATTGAGCGCGTGTAAAGACGTTGGAAGGAAAAGAGAAAGACCGAGCGATTGCGTTCGTCGGTCTCGCATTCCAATACACGCCGATTTCACGTGGTCTATCCTGCGCTGTTAGCCTTCACACGGACGCTCTTTTCGTATAACAAAAGCGAACAAGAACATTCGCGCGAAAGAACGTTAGATGTTTAACACATTGTACTAAATCATAATCCACCTGTTGTGGATTTTATATAATTTAGAACATTTTGGTCGATGGAGAAATATTTTAAAGAACTTGACCAACTTTTGCTGTCTCGTTTTTTCCTTTCAATACAATGAAACTTTACAATTAACTGAATCGATCAGCAGTAAAATAATGTTATTCATTTTTATGGACAAATTGCGCTAGATGAAAAAATTATTATGCCAAAATTGTTTTCACAAAAATAATCTTAATGATAGATAGTTTGACCACAGTCTTACCAATTCCTACAGTCGGTCAACGAACACGTCTAGACAGAGCAATCGTGCGGGGTGTGTGAGGCGAGAGAGGGTAGGGTGTGAGCCCGAACTCCCATACAACTCACTCGGGACACACCATTCCGGATTGCGGCATTTATGTTAGATACTTCGTGTGAAACTTAGAAACCCATAACTTCTGGATCCTGTAAGATTTGTGCTTTATTTTTTATGGAAGTGTTCCTAAATGGCATATCAATAATTTAGTGTTAAAGTTGAATCCCAATACTTTAAATAACTTCATGAAATTTAAAGTAATGAAAATATATTAAATTGCTTGTAACTTCGTGTTAAATGCCGATAAGCTGTTCGCGTTTTGATTATAATGTGCCTTATTTAAGGTGTTATACAAATACAAAGAGAAATGGAATAAAAACTGAGTATATTTAAAGATATAACGACTTCTTTGATTTTTATGGAAACCATAGAAAATAATTCAAAAAATATATATCTTCGTTAATATACAAAGTTGATACACGGGAGTTCTACTCTTGGTTTCAAGATGATTTTCTCTATCGAATAGGCGAATAAAAAAGTATGTCTGTTTTTTCAAATAGTAAAATACACTTTGCCCTGTTGGCATATCTTTGAAAGTCCAATACCATCAATACCTATTATTGCAAATTACATTTTAATTTTATATTGAAATTTCAATCAATGTGCTGCCATCTAGCATCCACCTATAATTTTAAATGAAATTTGAGACACTATTAAAATTGAATAAAACAAAACTTAATGATAATACGAAACAACAATTATTTTCACGTCCACAACGTGTAACGCGAAAATAGCTGACTGAGCTCAAGTTTGCGGAACTCCGCCAACTGTTGGCGCACGTGCCATGCATATGCCACTTCTACTGTATTTATTGCTCTGTGGTTATTCCCATGGGCGCAGGTGCGTTCAGTGTAACATTGGTTGCCAAAGCATCCCGAGACGGACGTTTTATAAAATACAGTTTTATTATTACCAATCCATTTACTAATGATAGATCTAATAATAAACTGCCTCCGTGGCTGTGGTCCTAGGTTCGAGAAATATTTGTATGACCTACATTTATTTCTCTCGTGAGTTTGGGTGTAATTTGTGGTTGTCTGTGTATGTCCATGGCACCCGTTATAAAAAAAAGTTATAATCTATACCAATTGGTTTACTTGTAAAATAATAATAAACTACAATTGGAGCTTTTTCTTTTTCCAGAGGTGAACACAGCATGTTGAAAATTATTTACTTGATTCTACACTTGTGTTTTATGCTTCTTGGAGTATCTGGATGCAAGAAAGGTTCGACACACTCGTCTCGTTCGTCTAGTAGTTCTAAATCTCTGTCAGTCGCTAGTTCCAAGTCTAAGTCGCCATCAGTGGACTCAGCTAAGCGATAAACGCATGTAAGTATTCAAATACCCATTCGTGATTAGAGACGCAGCATTGAATCAAAAGTTTATTTGAAAAGCGCAATCCCTAGAGTTTCTTGCTCGTTCTTCTCAGGGAGGTCACCGTAGTGAACGAGCAGTAGCTTAAAAAATGACGTAAAAATGTTACCTAAGGAATACAGTGGCGCTGCTGCAGCGAAATTACAAGGGTCTAATTTCAAGACGCATACGACCAACCCGCCGTCCATATAAATACACGGAATTATACCCGCCGCGCTCCCGACTCGACACGCACCCGACCCGTACCCGCTCTCTTGCGTGTTTCAAGTTCTACCAAATGAACGTCGTTAAACAAAAGGATCCAATGCACAGTCACTTTCGAGATGTGGCAGTTTGAAGTTTAAAAGTGTTTCTCACTCTTGTTTTATTTTGAAGACTTATAATGTCATGTAACTCCACAGGTATCTATGTTTATATGTTGGATTTTTCATTGCTGATCTAAGTGGTTAGACTTTAGGAACCGTTTGGTACACATTTTTTGATAATTTTGTGGATTGGATCATTTTTGCTTAACTACGTCCAAATATAGATATAAAAACTGTCAGATAGTACACCAAAAAAATTTATTATGTTGTTAATGATGTATAGGTAATATAGTCCTGCGAAGTTGATAGTATTTGTACAAGCCTAATTATCTATATTTGTTACAGTGCATTGAATTCCCATCAACAATGTTGCTGAAACTATTAATTATGTGCATACACTTATGCATACTGATTATTAAAGTATCTGGATGCGTGAGACGCATTGAAGACTTACGTCGTGAAACTATCGTTTTTCCTCGGCCTTACCACGCCAACGACCCTTCGAATATTAATAGACTCAGAAACATACCACCGGGGCACCGGCCAAGATTTTTTAAAAATACTGTTGACACCCCTTCTGCTGAAGAAATATAATGAATATTGCTCGTGAGTATTACATCATTAGACCCGAGACAATAGTTGACCGGGGATCGAACCCAGGACCTCAGTGATGGCGACACCATGATAACCGGTGCACAAACCTCTCCACCAGAGAGGCCGTCTAAATAATAAGTCGAAAATACAGAAATGCGATGAATTGATGAACACCTCTGATTTTGACCTCCATCATATTGATGAATTTTCTACTAGCAGTAGAGCTCCTTGTAACAGTCCAGGGTAGTACTGCCACCTTACCTATTTCTGCCGCCAAGCAGTATGAGAGCATTATTGCATTCTGGTTTTGAAAAGTGAAATTACAGGCACATGGGACTTGTCAACTATATCCCAGGGTGACGAGCGCTGGGGCAGTGCCCCTCCGATCTTTGCGATTTAAAAATCATAACATGAAAAAATTTATAGTGTTTAATACAGTTTTTTTTATATTATACTATGTGATGGCACGAACAAGTTGTGCACCTGGTGGTAAGCGACACGCCTATCCATAACAGTTGCAGTGCCACTCAGAGCTTTAAATCGCAAAGATCTTAACTGCACCCGTCATTTTGAGACAAAAACGGGTTCTACGTGCCTATAATTTCACCAGCACCCAGCACATTACTGCTTGGCGACATAAATAAGTAAGGCGGCAGTACTCCCCTGGACGAACTTGTGACAATGTGACCTCCTTACATCGTCATCCCAGCTTTTTCCCCGGTTCTTGGCCACTCGTTTTTAAATTTTGAATCTTTCTTTAGTTCTAACCTCACCGTTCCTTCTTCGGTCGACTAGAAGGTCCGGAACAATCCATCCTTATGTCGTTGATATACCACCCATTCACACTAAGCGCTATGATTCCTCTTTTCTAATGCGTACGACAAAGGAATGGAATGCTCTGTGTTTCCCGAGACATACTATTTGGGGCTATTCAAAGCTAGACGAATAGGCATTTTTTAGGCAAGCGCGTACCACCGTCATTTGAGATTGTGACCAAGCGTGTGTCTATTATTTATTTAAAAAAAACTATAAAATAAGACAACTCCTTTTTTTCCAGCCTTTTAACAACTCCTTTTTTTCCAGCCTTTTAAAAGTTTCCGTCAAACAATGGTGATAAAACTATTGTTATTTTGCTTACATTTATGCGTATTGCTGTGTAAAGGCTTTGGATGCAGGAGTAGACGAATACTTGGATTAGGAGAAATTCGTCGTACCGTAATCATGCCGCGACCGTACCGCACTCGAGATCCTATAAACATTGAGAGAATTAGTCAAATACCACTAGATCACAGACCTAGATTTATTAGTACGGTCAATGACACTACAGGTTCAATCGATGCAACGGGGATGATAACTCGCGTAAGTATTGCTTTGGTTTTTAAGCGCCCAGGACCCCGATTCGGAACTCTTCGATATTTTAACCGAATCGATCGATTGGACATCGTTCTCGTATCGAAGGGTCTTTGAAGTAGATTAGAAGAAAAATGTAAATCCTTTTATATACATTTATGGGCTTAGAATAATAACGCATAGAATGATAGTTTCATATCAAACGAACTGCCACAAGTGAGGCAAAAATCAAATTCATGTAGGCTAGTTTTAGTAGTAAGTTAATTTTCGGTTTTAGTGAATATTTATATAAAAATACACGTTGAAACGCGTTACTTCCTTGTGGAATGTGATGTTAGTATCTATTTTATGTTTGTGTGACGTATTTTTACACTCATTTACAGCACATTTCGTCGTTTTTAGCTAAAATTCTTGATCTGTGCGCGGTGCAAGTTGACCTTGAGCACTGAAGACCCGCCCGCTCGTGTAGGCCCTTTTGGCGCGCTTCAATTGCCTCACTTAGCGTGTGCGGACTAGGTTTCTATGCGTTATTATTCTAAGTTTAAGGGCCTAAAATATAGGAATGCATTAGTCTTGCATTAAAATAAATTACTAAAATTGAACGAAATCCAGACTTATTCGTCCTGGTCACTTGGTATTATGAAAAAAATCATGAAATCTTATCATAGAAGCGTTACATACGCTTAATTGAATTTTCGTCTTCGTGAAGACAAGAACAACCAGTTTATTTATTTATACCAGTTTACTTATTTATACCAGTTTACTTTATTCCGTAGACCGGCTACTGGGGGTCAATTCAGAACCTTACGATAACTCAGTTGTCGACCGATTTTTCGTTTTTATTCACAATAATCGCATCGAACGTCAAACTGTCGTATTCAAAACCGAGCCGAAATGACGTCACATCCGACCGGCAAAGGCTGAACAGTTATCGAATGGAAGTTACCGAACGTCCTATTGTTTACAAAGCAAGAATGTAATATGGAAATCTCTTATTATTTAAATAAAATTAGGATTTTGTTTAATTTTATTAATTTATTTTAATGCGAGACTAATGCATTCCTATATTTTAGGCCTTTGAAGTCTTAAAAATGTATATAAAAGGATTTAATTTTTCTTATAATCTGTATTCGCCGACTAACTCCATATACGTTGTTGGATAACAATATCGTATCCAAATCAAACGTTTTACTCAAATGTTCTGAATAGCTCGGAATTAGATTCCCAAATGAGGCAAGTAACTTTTGAATGCAGTATACTTACTCTTAAAAAATAACGTTGACGTTACTTGAAATGAAGCAATATATCCTATCTAATTATTTAAAGCACATTCCCACTGTCTCGCATAGCCTGTGTATTACTATTGGCCACCTAGGCGCATCGTGATTGCTAATGTGAACTAGAAATGATACGTGATACTTAGAAATACTTACCTATTTCTACTGTTAAGCAGTGTGAGCATTACTGTGTTCCTATCAACATATCGCAGTAAGAACTCGAAACATATCGCACTGCTAATAAAATAGTGTATTAACTCAAAAAGTGAATTTATTCAGAATAGCTGAATGACTAATTACTCCGTTCCCGTGAAATATTATAATTTGTGTATAGGTTGAAATTTATTAGACATCTAAACAACTCCCACTTGTCAATTAGAAGTATATTTAAAAATAAAAGCAAAAAATTATTTCATATTCTTGAGTAAGAACTGTTTCGTCTAGAAGTAGCTCACAAAACGTTTGTCTCATTCTAAGTAGATATATTTTAATGGTTTCTCACAATATTCTAACGACAATTTTACGTTCAGAAATGGTATAATTTTGAATTATAACACTTGTAATAGCAGTGTGATATGTCTCAAGGTGACGAACGCAGTGGCAGTGCCTCTAAGATCTTTGCAATTTAAAGCTCTGAGCAGCACTGCAAATGTCATGAATGTGTGCCGTCACTTTGTATCGTAAAAAATAATCATTCTACACATAACGGAAACGGTTTTCAAATTGTTTCAGTAAAATGTTTGGAACGCTCCTGTTTCTTTTGCAAGTTTTCGCCATATTGGCGGGTACTTTCGGTTGTCAGAAACGGACACTTACAGGCGGCAAGACGCTCTCCATTGACACAGTCAGCACTAAAACAAGTATTAACAGCGGCAAGACAGCTAGTACTATTTATTGACGGTACGAATTAATATTTTAATTACGAAAATATAGATTAAGAAGTAGAAATTAGTGAAAGTTAAGCAGTCAAAAAGCTCTATGAACGCAATATAGTGGTGTAACGCTCATGCAATTCGTAAAATAAATAAATATTCTAAATATAAAATAATTTTGAACTTTAAAAGGTTACCCATCAGTAGCCCGAAATGATATTTTCCAGAAATAACGTTTGCTTGAATTTTCATAACCTTGAAAGTCATTTTGAGAGGAAAACGTTTTTGTCTTTTAAACCTAACTTAACCTAACCTAACCGCACTGCTCTGAAACCGGCCTTATGGTGCTCTGTTACCAAAATATTCATTTATTTTTTCCTGAAAGTACTCCACTTTGTTATAACTATTAATACAAAGAAAGAAAAATTTCTTCAACAGAAAAGAACCTACGACTACGTCAAAACCGAGCTACAGGTCAACGCAGCAGACCTTACGAATTCCTCTTTGTTTCATACACATGTGTACGCTGTAACCGACACCTTCCGAGAGACTTGTGAAGCTTCTCACTCAGCCTGTACCTTTACAGCTACCACAAGCCGACGTAGATGTTGCTTGTCTTAATTAATTTTTCTTTGTATTATAACGAACTATTTGTCAACTTTCCACGAAAATGAGCGGTCATTATTATCAGTATAAATATCGACCAAATACATAAATTAAAAAATAAAAAATAAATATATAAATTTTGTTACAGGTTCACATGATGCTTATCATAATAATTTTGCACTTGCTAAATTTGGTATTGTACGCGTTTTGTTGCCAAGAGAAGAATCCTGTACCGAAAAGAAGAAGATACTCTGGATGCCCGAAAGGATGCTGCATGTGTAACGGGCCTATGATGGGCCACAAATTGTTAATCGGTCCAAATTTTATGACACTTGAAGAACATCAATTAACTCACGAAGAAAGAGACAAAGTACGTTTAAAAATTGCTATAATAACTATACTTCGTTTTTTTTAACATTAGAAATGAGGTAAAGAAAATTATTTTCCGGATTTAAATCGCGTATATTTGTTTTTTCAAACAAACCGACGTTTCGAGCCCTTTCCAGGTCCCATGGTCACCGTTGACTGAGGTGGTACAGTCATCAACCAGTTGTCTAATATTAACGCAAACCACCCTATTTTTCATTATAGTTAAAAAGTTATTAAGTAAATACCTTATTTTTAATTTTACAAAGAAACATTCCAATTGACGCTACATTACGTTTTACAAATAATTAATAATTTATTTATTTATTTATTTATTTCATAATGTAAATTAGAATAAATTAAAACATTAAACAGTACTGCAGTCTTATGTCTGTTTGGGAGTTTTCATCAGTAGAAGTACAGAAATCCAAACTGGTGGTACGGAGAAACCATCTTCCCTGTTGAAATTAGGATGTTTTTTAATTTCCTCTCGCAGCATCCTGGGTAGATAACGGACTTCTTTTGCAAGAATCTGGGGTTTGTCAAGCCTTCATTGAATATGTACGTTTATTCATGACATGCTCGCAGACTGCAATTTGACATCAACTGTATGTTCTTTGACGCGGGTACAAATACTTGGCTTCGTTTGTCCAATATAAGAGAGACCGTAGTCAGTCAAGCTTGTAAACTCCTGCATCCTGTAAGGGGATGTTACATTTCACGGGTCTCAGGAACTGAGAAATCTTCCTCGGGGGCTTGAAATAGGTCTTCATAAACGCACACCTGAGCACTTCGCTCGACTTGGTCTTGGCTTTATGGTTTTTCACACGGCACAATTTCATTGTCATTTTTCTAGTTCTACTTATGCAATAAAAATGGAATTATAAATAAGCCTGTAGTCATTATTTATTGGATCTTGGTGGTTGATAGTGTTGCTTGTAGTTAATAAACAGCCTAACATACTATAGTTGTTATAACCTCCGTATGCAATATATTTCACTTTGCCCATTACCTATATGGTACTATAGACCTGTCCTTGACATTACCTCGAATATGGATGAACACCCTCAGGATGCGTCCAGATCTGTGAAATGCGCCGAATGCTCCTGTTTTACGTAATGCGTTCTGAGTATCGAAATCAGGTGGGTTTCCGAGCGAAAAGATAAACCTGATTCCTACTATATCATTCGAGTTGTCATTAGCAAAGGCGCACTTAATTACATCGTGTGCAGCGTGCGTGCCAGCGTGCGCACCCTTAAATGCTTTAAAATGCATACTCTTCTGACATTAGTAACTTTCTCATTACAAAGTAGTTTAGGCTTGTACAAATGCTCAAACTCAAATAATCAATATCTAATTATGAACCATAGTTTTTCTTACAAAACATTTTCGGACTTATTTGCGATAAAGAACGATAAAGAATTGAATAGGTTTCACAATCCATTCGGGCATCTTCACCAAACGAAAGTTAATATAAAGACCTACAAACAATAAAGTTGATCAGAAAATAATAAAAACTCGGCCACTCAAACCAATAACAAAAACAATAATGGTATAATGCGACCAATTAAAATATCAAAAATGTGGAACACTTATCGTGAGGACACGACCACGATAATTTAATTGTATTAATATACGTTTAAAACATTCCATTTCTTTACTACCTCTGCTTCTTTGGGTATTTTATTGAACTTTATTTCTAATGCTAAAAAAACGGAAGTATACTCGAATACATTTCCATTACTAGATTTGTCATCTACAATAATTTGCATTAAGAACTAAGTATTACATATTTTTGCATATGTAGTGGTGTACCAAATCTTTTGTACTCTGCTTAACAGGAATTCTACTGCTGCAAACGGAAGGATACAAAGTGTGATGTAAAAAAACGAAAGGGGCTAGTAAAAACATGCTGCTGTGATATATGAATACCCGTGAGTATTTATTATTTTATACGTACCAATATTCGGTTATTATTAATATTATTGCCTTCTTTATGGTATGTATTCTTTCACCATTCAACCTTTAGGCGTGACCAGAGAGCGGGTGCGAGTCGGACGTG